GATCCCTTTGATATATTATATAATTAGAACAGGGCTGATAATCGGATCAGGTCAGCGAAAAAAAAAAAAAAAAAGAAAAAAAAAGAAAAAAAAAGCCATGCCGGGATGGATTTTGTCTCATATTAGAGGGCTGAAACGTCGTAAGGGCAACTTGGTGTGGTTTGGATGGCATATTTTTCTTTAAACTATATAGATTTTATAGATTTTCAATTGTTTCTTGCCGTTTTGGCGCACCTTGACGACGCCACGCATCAAGTGGCAATCAACCACCGGTGCAACCACAACCCTGAATATCGGATATGCCGAAAGTGAAAGTGAGATTTAGTTTGGTTGTCAAAACAGCAGCCAACCACGCCCAGCTGTGGGGTTGGAGCAACTTTAGGGGAATTTGATTCCTGTCAGGCTGTGCTCGGAGGCGTATGGCTTGCCCGCTAAGTAGCTAGCCTGCAAACTCAAGCACAAAGCAGGGACTTTTTTGCCGGAGGCCGATGTCTTCTTGTTTGCGCGTTAGTAAATTAAACTCAATCCAGAGATGCTGCCAGATAAAGTTGATCCAAGTACCTGGGAATGTGCCACGGTCAAAACGGGTTGCTTCTCCAGACTCCCCAGTGGTCGAAATGGAACAAACCTCCAATCAATAAAATACAATAATCGCGAGAGGTACTTGGTGTTCGGGTACCGGGTACATCCCTCGGTGATTCTGTAGGGCATTGGCCCCGGGGTCAGCTGCCACCAACTGGACCCCTGAGGGCCAAGTCTTGCGTGGGGGGTCTGGGCTCGTTGCTTACGGGGTTAGTTGTGACCGAGTGAACTGATGTGATTGTACCAGGTACATACTTGCACCGATTGACGATAACATACTGATCCAGAGACGCTGATCAGGGCCTCGCCGGCTGAGATGTCTCCTGTTGTTCTCCTCCGTAATTTCACGGCGTTTTACTCCTGGGACTGCAGTCTGCAGGGCTATTCCTCGCATTCTTCGATGTTGAAACCTCGTTAAAATCATTTCTCAGATCATTATGCTGCCCTTCCTCCTCCCTCCAACAACAGCCCAGAGGTCGTTCAACAGTTCAACAATCGCATCCACCTCCCGCTAATTCTGGCCTTGATTTTTGGTTCACCGTATCCACCAGCAGCGGACTAGTCGCGACGACGAACCACGCAGTAGCATCACCAAAGCAGCATCCCATCATGGTCGATTCTGGTGCCGCTGAACCGCCACGGTGATATGCCCGTCGTTTTGCCCCCCGTCGAGCAGCATGTGACGGTTTCTGCTCTCTGTCTCCAGGAAATAAATATTCGCGAATAAATATTCCCACCAACTATCGCAATCGCCTCTCCTCTGGCTAAACTGCTGTGGAGAAGTTCGTGCGCGGATCCTCTCTCCTATTCTTCGAACCATTTTTGGCCCAGAATCCAAGTTTTCCCCCTTCCGCCTTGACTGTTTGGTTGTGTCCGCGGTTTAATTTGCAGTGACTTTTTTTAACCATTTCCCCTGTCGCCTCCAACTCTCCGTGATTAGTATTTAGCTAACCCCCTGCTCTCGCCATTCTCTGCTGTCTCCTGCATCCTTCGATCGATTCGACTCAAGACTCGACACCCTCCCTCCCTCTTCTTTTCCGCCGTCCAATCGTTTGATTCCGTAAGTATTCATGTTTTGTTCCCGCCCCTCCGTTTTTTCTTTTCTTTTCTTTCTTTCTTTCTTTCTTTCTTTCTTTTTTTTTTTTTTTTTTCGTTTCTGTGCAATTTTTTGGGGGTTTGATCCGCGCGACACTCAAATTCTAGCAGGGGTAGGTTTATCCTCTTGCATGGAAATTGACTTGCTGTCGCGTGCTTCGCGATTGCTTCTGCGGCTTGTTGCAGAAGAAAAAGCCCCTTCCACTGCAGAGAAAACGATCATGCTGTCCTTCTTCCTCCATGTGCGTAATGTGATGTGCATGCGCATCCGTTGGATGTCACACCCGCGATTCTGCTGCGTGTTTCATGCTTCCTTCTCACCTCCATACGCATGGCAGATACATATCGCATGAATCAATTGATCCTTTTTTTCTTTTCTCTCTTCATGTCTTTTCCATTTATTTTGGTGTTTTATTCGATGATATGCTAACAAAGCGAATACAATGAATGCATCCAGAGCCACCCTTAATATACCCTTTCCCCCCTTAAACTTCCCAGCGAGCCACTCAGGACATAAACCAAAAGATGTCGGATAAGGTTGAGGCTGGCCCCGTCGAGGTGGCGCCCAAGCCCTCCTTTAGCGCCCGCCTCAAAGCCAATTTCAAGAGATTTTGGTGGCTATATCTGGGTATCTTCATTGCCGTTGTGCTTGTTGTCGTCTTGCCTGTGTAAGCATATTTTTTTTACACCACTTCACCTTTTAACCTTCCTCTTCGGAGCAGTAATGGAGTTGGGTCAAATTTGATCTCCGCTATGCGCTTGTTGAATGTGGTCCCCACATAAACTGCGCTCATGTAAATAGCCGTGTGGGACAATCCCAACATGTCTAGCGGAATTGGGCAAGGAACTTTTCGAGATGACAGGAAACTAACCTTTGGCAAGCATCTACGTCGGCTACCCCCACATCGCCCAACGCGACGTGAACAGATCCACCCTCACCATCGACTCCATGGAAATCACCGACCCATCCCCAGAGTCCTTCTCTATCAAGATTGAACAGACTATCGGCTCCAAGTCCAATTTCCACCCCCAACTCGATGCCTTCAACGCCACCGTCACCATTGCAGGGAGCAAGAGTCCCTTCGTCACCCTTGAAGTCCCACCCGTCAAAGCTGTCGATGGCGCCAAGAGCACGATTAACCAGCGCGTCACCCCTAATATGGATGCGTTCACCGACTATGCCATTCTGGTTATGAAGTCGGAGAAACTCGACCTTGAGATTGATGGCAAGACGGGGTTGAGGGAGGGCTCTCTGCCGAAGACGACTGTAGATTATAATAAGGTTATTACCATGAAGGGTACGTATTGCTATTGCTGTTGTATTAACACATCGGAGGACCGCTGACGACTAAACTGTGGCGATTTCCCCTTTTTCTCTGTCTGAACAGGCCTTAATTCCCTCAAAGGCTTCGAAGTGAAAAACTTCAGTCTCGCATCCAACCAAACAGACGGAAGCAACATGCTCGGTGAAGTTTTCATTCCCAACCCCAGCGTCTTAACCCTCACCTTGGTAAGTCTATCTCTCGACAACGGGCCCCATCCAAAACCAAACCTCCCCTAATATTATATATATATATATATATATATATACTGTACTATGCCATAAGTATTAGCAAAACCCCACTACTTTCTGCAACCAAAAGACACCATGATTGTGGTGGGGGCTGCCCAAATATTTATGGCCTGGCACTGTATATTATAAATTATAACACATAAAACACAAACCCCTCCACCTAACATCCCCATCACCAGGGCGACGTCACCCTCGACCTCTCCGTCGATGGCCAAAAAATCGGCACTGCCAAGCTGCCCGCCCTCGTCATCCGCCCGGGCGACACCAACGCCAAGATGCGCTCGACCATCGACCTGGCGAAGGTCTTCCCCTTCATCAGCGGCAAGGACGCCAAGTACAAGAAGGGCGTCATCCCCCTGACCATCGTGGGTAAGTCGGCTGTGTATGGCGGGAAGGAACTGCCTTATTTCTCAGCCGCGTTGGCGTCGAATACGCTGGAGATCGAGCTAGATTTGCGGCCGCTGTTGGGCTCACGGGGTGGGAAGTAAGTAGGTGGGTAGGGATAGGAGAGGTAACGAACGGGTAATGGAATGGTTAAGTTTTTATGTCATGTTCTTTTATATTTCCTTGATTTTTTTTTTTTCCTTTTTCCTTCCCCCCCCCCCCCCCACCCTCCCCCTCCTATCTGCTTCTTCCGCCGAGGGGTGTGCCGTGGGTATGTATGATTTCCCTTTTTTGTTTTATCTTGCATGTTGATGTCTCTGTATGCGTATATATATATATATATACATCACCAATATTCGTGTGGATATTAGTGTCGCCACCGGGGCCCCTTCCCCCATCCTGCAGTATATATACACACCATTTTCCTACCACTACGATTAATATTAGTCTGATACTCTGGAAATGAATGATACCTCATTGCTGCGTATTCTAGTCTAGTTCGCCCCCCCTTCCCCCCCCCCCCTCTCTCTTTTTTTTTTGGTTTGCTTTTGTTGTTTGGCTGTAAATACGAATATGAATGAGTGATATCTCAGGTCTTTTTTATTCCCCCCCGCCCACCTATCTCTCCTTACGTATGGGCTTGGGTTCTTTTTGATGATGATGATTCTTGTCAACCTTTCCTTCCCCCTTCCTGAAAATAAAATATAATCGCCTTCTCCGTATTAATTCTCGTTTGGTATTCTGTACTTCCCCCCCTCCTCCCCCAACTATTCTTTTCGACTCTTCCCAAATGCTATAAAAATACTGAGCATAAGCACATTAGCACCCCATCAATCCCCCTTAACCCCCCAACCCCACCCTTTAATAAACAGAACCATCTACAACTTTTACTCCTTCGGGATACGTCATCCTCCTCCTCCTCCTCCTCCTCTTCTCCTCTTCCCCCCCGCCCCGCCATTGGACGTCGACATCATCCACGAATGCAACGCACGATACCCAGTAGCGACCAGACTCCGCTCCGTTCCCACCTCCGCATCCGCGGCAAGATGCCAATAAAAAAGCCCCCCCAGCTCATACTCCGATACAAACTGTGCCTTCTGCATCACCGTCCTGGGCGAATCGTACGAAATGAAGCCAGCCGCGGGCCCTTCACCACCACTACCACTGCTGCCGCCGCCGAAATCAACACAATACGCCGCACAAAACACGGCATCGTGCACCTCCTCCGTCCCTGGAAGCGGTAGCTCACGGTAATCAAACACCTTTTCCCCTCCCGCCGTCCCCCGCTCATACGGTTGATTAATCCCATTCGCGCCCGGGAACGCACGGCCATAGACGGGGATCCCCAGGAGGATTTTACCGGCCGGTACGCCCCAGCTTAGCAGATAGGCCACCCCTGAGGAACCCGACGCGGTGGTACTCGTCGTCGTCGCTGTCGCTTCCAAGGCTGCTTTTTGCGGGTCCGGCGGCGCGTAGAGCTGGGCATGGTGCCCGCTGAGGGGCATCCAGGGGCCGGAGAAGTCGTATGTCATGAGGTTTATGAGGTCGACGTAGAGGTGGGCTTCGACGAGGTTTATTTTGTTCAGGACCCATTCACCGGCGGAGAGGGCGGTGGTGAGGAGGTAGGCTGGGCTTGGAAATTGTTCGCGTAGCCGGTAGAGCAGGGTGTTGTAGTCGTACCCCTGTTCTAGTGTTTCGGGATGTTCCCAGTTTACTGTGTAAAAAGTTTGTTAGATTTTTTTTTTTTTTTTTTTTTTTTTTTTTTTTTTTTTTTTTTTGATGGGGGGAGAAGAGATAAGGGGGGTAGGGGGGTTAGTTACGCACTGTCAAGCCCATCAAGTAGAAATTTATTCATCAAGTCTGCGGCGCTTGACAGAAATCTTTCGACTGCTGCTGGGCTCGCCGCGACAGCAGCGAAATTCCTGCTGCCTACGATATCGCCTCCGTTATCTCCACCCCCAACTGAAAGAAGCACTTTTACCTTGGAGTCGCGCTTTCGGTGGACGAGTGCCCGAAGATATCCCTCGGTGCCATCAACTGGCTGGCATTCGTCCACCCATTCGTTGCTAAGCTGGTGGGAATCGTTAGTTATGTATTTCCGTTTAAAATAAGGGTGTATGTATAGAGCGATGGGTTGGGCACACCAACATAGACGGTGCCGTCCTCTCTCACCCTGAAAACTCAAAAAGCATCCAGTAAGCTATCTTGCATTTCACAATTTTTTTGTTGGTTTTTAGCAGCTAAGGAGGGAAGGACTTATGCGGACAATCTTCTCCGTTTTTTTCTCTTCATACCAGGCAAATGCATAGAATATATGGGAAACATAACCCAGATTCAATGACGAGGGAGGCGGCATGTCATTTGCCCGCCAATTAGCGTAGTAAACGGCATTCCAGTGCATCGGAATTCCAGAGTCGGATCTATGCACCGAGTTCTGCGCGGGGAGTTCTTTGGAACCCGGACCCACGGAGGGAGATCTCTGAAAAGGATACATCAGGAGTAATCAACCTAAGCTATGCACTTCACGTGCCTGGTTGAACGAATAGTTGTATCCTAGAAAGTTGAAGTGTCTATTGGTGCGATAGCAAGGAAGCAGTGATTAGCAAGAAACAGTGTTGGTTCTTGAGTCTCGGGTGGATTGGCGTTGGAGGTTCGAAAACTGAGAAATCGCAGGGGCGGTGCAATCAGTAAACCTGGGTATATATGGAGATATATATATGTATAGAAAGAGCGAGAAAGAGCGAGAGCAGTTAAGAAACAGCACGTTGGCTTTTAGCCCTTACGGAAATAACGAGGGCTAAATGGCAATAATGAAAGTAAAAGGGCGGGAACCGTTTTCATTGTTGATAGTAGTCAATAAGTTCGATGTGAGTCTCAGCGCATGAGCGAATGTGTATCACGACACAGCGATTCGCTTCTAGGCTATTTTACTCCACATCACATTGGGTAGGACAAAGAACAATCCCGTACAGTGATTCCCTGCTGTAGTGGCGATTATCTTCTACTAACCTTGGAGATCCTGAGGATTGTGGGTATTTTCTTCGGGGCTTTCCCCCTTTCCCATATATAATCATCCTTCAAGGGCCCACGAGGTTAGTCAAAAGCTTTCAATATGGCCATAGAAGAATGACAAGCCCTCTGGTATGGGAGTATTAGGCGCCTAAATATGTGGATCCCGAGTTAGTTAAATAGTACAGAGTAGATCCGGGGTCAGGAATAAGCAAAGAGGTGGAGGTGGGCCATCGTTTTTCCGATATAAAAATTGTATCATCCCTTGAACGACTGGACCAAAAAACCAGCGTCCGGATTAGCTCCTTAACACCAACCCAACGACGAGCATGGGTGGCTCGATGAAAGTGTGCGGTAAGAATCGCACGGATTCCTGCATGATTGGGCTACGGGAATGAAAAGGAGAGTGCAGCAGCCATGACAACGGAGAGCTTGCACATTTTCACGATCCTGCCCGCTGGATTGCACAGTCTTGTGTCTTGGTCTATGTGACTTGCTAATTATGTGCGTCAGGACTATAGCGGGCCTTTCTATTGCATCGCCCTACGATTGAACGCAGTAGGAAGATGGTTGCAGAGTTATCAGTTTCCAACCCGCATGGCTGTTCGTTCCTTGAAAATATTGCTTCTGTGAGCGAAAGTATCCCCGCAGAAGGCTGCCGCGCCCCGTTCAGTTATGACCGTGTGCTTTTGTCGTTTTCTTCTTTTGTTTCTGGCCAGCGTCGGCGTTGTGCAGTAAATGCATCTCAGCTCCTGGGTCTTTGCTCCTGGCGGTTCAGCGCACCGTGAAAGACATCAATCAGGACGGGCATACAAGCCCAATAGCGAGGATCAGATTTGCTCCCAATAAATAATGCATAAACCTGTACGGTACACTTGTCACAAGTTGCTAGGATATTCAGCATTACTAGTTTGAAGGTCCTTTGGTAAACTTCTTGATCAAAACATCTACTCCTTGATCCATGATATTAGTATTCAATTACAGGTACCTACTGTACCGCCACACAGCGGGAAAACATCACCTAATGGGCGAGGATATAGAGCAAATAATGCCGTAGGACTGCAATGACTTTTTATGTAGTTGCCGGAATGAAGCCTTTGTCTCCACCACCTAAGCCTGCTTGCTCCCAGGGTCTGTCATGATCCGCTTGCACAAGATAAGGCTATGTATTTCTATGTTGGAATAAAAGGACGGCTAGAATTGACGCAAGCCAAATGATAGGGGATATATACTCAATTATCGGCGGAAGTGGACATCGGAGGTGGTTGTAAAAGCGAAGCCCCGTTGGTTATTTATCATGGATTGAAAGTTTGGTGGTGCGTGCTTAAGCTTCTTCACACAAGATGAGCTTGCATCCAACATCAACCAACCACCAACCACCCTTCTGTGCTCCCCATGACATGACGGAGATCCCCTACGACTTCGGATATTGCTATTGTTTGGGTTGACGATTTCCTCAAACATACTCTCTATCTTCGTACCTCGCATCTCTACTACGCCGGCTGACGGCTGGGTCTTCACCCTGTCAAACTTGTCCTCGTTCCCTTCCAGCCGCGATCCCCATCAGTGCTACGGCTGGTGAGGACTGCACGAGGCGACAGCGACTAGGATTTCATCCCTCTTACTAAACTGTACATTGCAATTCTCCCGTTTGGAAGAAGACTACGAAGACTACCTCCGCCATGTCTGCAGACGTACAGGGAATCGCCGATCGAATCGTCTCCCCTGACGCCCCTCGCGACCCCAGCTTCAATTTCTCCTTCAGTCCCTTCCTCACGAAAACCTTCGGCTTTGGGCTCGCCTCGGACGTGCCTGTGTGCAAAGCGTATCGAGAAGGCCACTGCCCCCTAGGCCCAACATGCCCAGACAGACACCCCACCCCGTCCCGAATCTCCACGGCCACCTCCCCGGCAATGCCCGCGGCCTCGACCCACGGCACCCTCGTCTGCAAGCACTTCCTCAAAGGCCTATGCAAAAAGGGCATCAAATGCGAGTACCTGCACGAGTATAATCTACGGCGAATGCCCGAGTGCCAGAATTTCTCACGGACGGGATACTGTCCCAACGGCGATGAATGTCTCTACCAACACGTCCCCGAAGAGGCAAAGATACCGCTTTGCGAGCACTACGAGAGGGGACTGTGCGCATTGGGTCCGCTGTGCGCGAAGAAGCATGTGCGGAAAAAGATCTGTCGTTTTTATTTGGCTGGGTTTTGCCCTGAGGGGCGGGCGTGTCTTGAGGGTGCACATCCCGGGTGGCCAGAGAATTTGCCAAAGCCCATGGTTAAGGTGGCGAAGACGGAAGCGGATTTGGAGCGGGAAAGGGCGAGGATACGTGAGGAGCAGGAGAAGGAGGAAGAGAGGGAGAGGGAATGGAGGAGGGAGAATCGTGGCCGGGATGGCCGGTTTGGGAGAGGACGGTATCGAGGGAAGAGATGATTTGGGTCTCTCGTGGGTCTTGTTTTCTTTTCTTCCTGGAATAAATTTGCGTGTCTTCTTTTCTTTGTATGTGCGGGCTGGGCTTATCGGGTTTCTGCTTTATTAGTATTGATCGGAGTTTATTATGCCCTGGCTCTTTAAACTCTGGGCTTTCCGACTGTTGGTCTCTTTTTCCTGGATTTGGTTACTACGATCAGATAGCCGCGTACTGGATTGAAGCTTCTAGAAAACTGGGTGAAAATATTTTGCAACGTGCTCTGAAGAAGACGAGATAAGTGTATAGATCATCTATGCTTTTCGAAGCTGCCAAACAATGCATCAGCATATTCAATATCCTTCAAGTTGACAGTGCATGTCACAGACAACCAAAACAAATGTCGAATTATTTAATAATGAAATCAATGAGAAAGAGATTGATGATTACACCGTGCAGTCAGCGGTATATACATGGTCTTACAAACATCCATACCAGCAGATTCTATGTTTACTTCCTACCATGTCAATAGACGATAGATTGAAACCCTCCGGAAACAAAAGCACTTGCGCGCAGAACACCTACACCAAAGTCTTCCTCGACGAGAGTGTTAAGAGTGAATGCAAGAGAAAAGTGACTACGGACCCAAGTTCCCGGGCGACATATACTTCTGAAAGATTCACTCAAACTGATTTTCCAATTGGCTCTAGCTCTAACGGAATATTCGAGCGCAATCGCGACTCCTGTAACAGCGTGAAGCCTTCCATACCTTTACTTAGCGCAGGTTTTGCAGGTCTCCACATACCGTGGAACGCCAACGAGATGGGTTCAATGCCTCTAATGGCTTTCCTGGAATGTGGTCTCCCATGTGCCACTGGCTCAAAATATTACCATAAGGGATATCATCTTGGTGTTTGCGGGAATGGGTTGACCGGAAAAGAGGGCCGGAAACAGGAAATAGGCAATATCAGCGACACGCATCAACTTATCGATTTAGCTGAAGGTAGCTGACTAGCATGCGCAACGCTGCGAACATCCCGTTTCCAAATTGCCTCTGTCTCGAGGGCGGCATCGACGGTTGAAAGCGTTCTTCTCTCGCACATAACTCACGCAGCTGGAAGTCCAATTGCCCTGCAGCTCCGTACAAGCTTGGGGCCGTTGCATAACGAAGGTGCCTGCTCTGCATAGGTGAAAGACATGCAGGCAAAGGCAAGGAATGGCATACCAGATAGTCCATGGCAGTCGGTTCGCTTCAGGTCACCCGTGCAGCTATCGAAATCATCTCCCGAGGATTGGGAAGTCAGCCTGGACCCCCTTCTCTGTGGCTGTGGAGTGGCTTCCACAAGAGGGATCTTAATATCCAACAGGTTGAATACGTCGTAATAGCCTTGTTCCAATGAGACCTGCTTGCGTCCAGTATGCGTGAGGCAAGGCGATGGGCGCAGGATTTCTCCGTTCCTGAGTACCTTTTGCGCTGGCGTGTCTTCTACCCGCAAAAGCTAAAGTCGCCTTTATGCCAGAGTTCTTCTTAGAATCCGCGACGCTTTTCAAGTGGTTATCCAAAAGCGTTCCTTTCCACGAAGTCTCACATGAGGTGTTCGAAAGGTAGTCGGCCGTATTTTGAAAAGCTCTAGGTACTGATCCCGTGCTTGTTTCAGTTCACCGTTGGGTGTACTTATTTTGACGCTACCTACCAGGGGAGGGGGAAAGATTTGGAATTCATTACAGAGCCATGATCTCCTTGCAACCTTTGATCTGCAGTCCGGCCAAACCGAATCCCATGACTATAACCCGTTTCCTGTTCATATGCAGACCTTCCTGAGGCCAGAAAGAGGAATTGTTGCTGGAAAATTTCGGGACATTCTAATTCTGGACTTTTATCATTTTGACACAGGACCAGAATCCAGCAAGAGACACTTGGTTAACACCTCAAAACATCCGACACTGATTCAAGGAATTTGGCTATATACCCTTGATGCCTCAGCTTCTCGAGCTAACACACCACCGTAGCTTGCTCCTGATACAAAGGAGCCAAGCTCGGCCATAGTATTTGGAGATTGGATTGAGAGATCCTTGGTGATTCAAGTCTTTGTAATCGACAACAATGGGGAGGAAGGAGAAAATTAAAGGTAGGAGAATGACTTGAATATATCTTCAAACCAACATCAAACCCTGGTGCTACTGGCATGGAAACGGGTCCTCGTAATAGTTGATCCCCATGGATGGTCCACCAAAGCTTGATTGAGCAGGCATGCCTGGCAAGGGGATCACGGAAAGCTAGGGATATGGTTGCTTTGATTGGAAGCTCTTCGAACTGCCTTGCTCATATCAGTCGATGGTCCGTCGTGCGTTTCATCGGCCCATCGACGTCGGGTCGACTTGGATCTTCCCTGCAACAGTAATCTCGCTTCTGCATTCAGATATGCTCCAGTAACAGTTCCGGATTCTAGTTGAATGTGGAAAATCAAAGTTTCTAACCATGTCAAATGCTGAGCATCATGGAACTTGACATGATACAGATAAAGAGTTTGGCTTCTTTTCCTGTATTCTCCAAGATCTTGCAACGCTATGACATTGTAATTATATTTTTCTTATATTCAGCGTAGATGTAAACATATACTAATCGTTATCAGTTATTTAGTAGAATATCTAGATGATAGACTCTGCTGATGGACGCTACTGATCAGTATATATATGGGGTTTGTTGACTGAGCCTGCCTGAACCATGTTCAACTAGTTGGAGCCCTAACTAACTAACTCTCGGCGAGTTCTCGCTCTTCGGATTTCCCATTCTCTGCAATGAGCGCCCATACCAGGGACATGCTGCGGACATACCGGGGATTATCAAACGAAGTGCTGTTCTCAGCCAACACCGGAATTTGATTTATTCGGGATTGCTCAGTATAATAAAACCATACCAAACCCCAGTTTAAACTAGGATTGTAGAATTAATGTGTTGACCTTGACAAGACTCTTTGAAGTGAAAGTTGAAAGCTGACAAATGGGTTGCTTGAAACAACTGCTTCCAGTGCAATCATTCTGTTAGGCCACTGGGGCAAAAGAGCTCTCTCACACCAGCGCCATGCTGGTAGTAGAGGGGACGAACCAATCCATACCCCCCCAACACATTCCACTTTATCACAAGTCACACTTATCACTCGCAGTGTTGAGACGCGGGCTCGGCATAGCCGAAGCCCTCGGTTCCAAGGTTGTTCCCCGGCATTTTAGCCCATGACACACTAAATATTTGGTGCACTACTAACTTGGTTGGATGATTAATATGATAACTGCTAACTAACTAGTTAACTAATATAGTTACGGCATCTCTATCTCAACACACAACGAATTTTTTTATAATAGAAAAGTACTAGTAAATATGAGATATATGCATAACGGGCTTTATATTTCCAATTTTCTGAGCTTCAAAGACATCATTCCTGGATCATTGATTGCCCGCATAAATTGAAACACGATATTTTGTTAGTGGGGCACTAAATCTTTAAAGTGGATCACGAACAGACTGCGTACAAGGGGCATCACTACCTCCTTCGTATTACCAGGAATGTGAGGATTACTGCGGAGATAGTGGCAGTCTTTGATCTGTAATCACCTCACCGAGTACCACGGACATTCAACTTTGCCAACCCACGTTCCCGCACCGTTATTGCTACCCAGGGATTTGCCTAAGCAGAGCGTGATGGGTATGTATATATGTACATGTACATACTGCGTAAAGCCGCTCGACACGATCATATTGTCATTCCATTGTAGGAACTGCGGAGTTGCTTCCCCGATGCAACAGTAATCTGAGTTGGGAGTTGGGAGGTGGGAGGTGAGAGTATTCAGGATCTACCAGGCAGAGCCGTGGAAAGATTATACCATCCTTGCACACGTCATAGCTTAGGAAGGCCCGGGGCTCTGTTGCCGTGTCTGTACTCCGTACGCTGCGTATAAAACAGCATCCCCCTTCCCCCCCCAGAGGACCTTTCTCACAGCTGACTCCAACCATTCAGCTCATTGCACAATCCTAGTGGCATTACAATTCTTCTCTGTTTGCTATCTACGCAGTAATTCGAACCATTCAGCATCCGCAATCAACATGGCGCCGAAGATCGCTATTATTTTCGTATGTCTGCGTCTATATTACGTGGATGTGTTGCCTTACTACCCTTTTTGTCACTCTTTTGCCACTAATGAGATTCTCTCTATACGTACACTTAGTACTCCATGTATGGACATATCCAGAAGCTAGCGGAAGCAGAGAAAAAAGGCATTGAGGCTGCTGGAGGCACAGTAGATATCTATCAGTAAGGCCCCTCTTTTGCAGGCTAAAATCGAGAGGAAAAACCGCGAAACTGCCAAAGGAAATTTATGAGTTAGCTAGCCCTCCAATGGAAATTGACATGTCCGCGTAACATATATAGAGTCGCCGAAACCCTCCCCCAGGAAGTCCTCGATAAGATGCATGCGCCGCCGAAGTCATCCTACCCGATTGCTGAACCAGATGTGCTTCTGAAATACGATGCTATCCTGATGGGAATCCCAACCCGTTATGGGAATTTCCCTGCCCAGTGGAAAGCGTTCTGGGACAAAACAGTGGGTATTTGGGCTTCTGGCGGTTACTGGGGCAAATATGTTGGTCTCTTTGTCTCGTCCGGAACTCCAGGCGGTGGACAGGAGTCTACCAACCTCGCTGCGATGAGTACGCTGGCCCATCATGGACTCATCTACGTTCCTCTGGGATACAAGACTGTGATGTCCCTGTTGGTGAACGTCGACGAAGTTAGAGGTGGTAGCCCGTGGGGTGCTGGGACTTTTGCTGTAAGCCTTTGTCCCCATCTGCATATTTCAAGGGGAGATCTCTCAGAGGAGTTCTAGGGATGAGAAGCAAAACTAATGTATGAATCATGTTTTTTAGGGCGCCGATGGCTCGCGTCAACCATCTGCGCTGGAACTCCAGATTGCCGAAGAACAGGGCAAGCAGTTCTATAACACTGTCGCCAAGGTTAACTTCGAATGACTAAATGATGGGCCATCTACCGCCGATAACTCAGGAAACGAAGCTCGAGCCAGCGAACCGCAGCCAACACCTTTACCTGAGCGAAGGCCTACCGAAAATACCAAGCAGGATAAGAAGTCAGGGCCTTGTGGACTGCCGAAATGTATTGTTAGTTGACGAGTTTTCAGGTAGCCTTGATGTTTCGTTTTTTTGTTGAGGAACGCTTCTACGATAGCACCAATTTAGTTAGCCATGCGAAATGAAAGTAATAATGAGCAATGAAATTTATGTATGTACATACTATTGCTAGTAGCTCAATCACTGCAGGCTCCACTTGATGACCATGGAATTCCAAGGTTTTATATCATCCCGTTGAGTTTGTGCCCGTCCAATCCATCCAAGATCAGCCAACCACGTGATATCGCTAGTTTTCCTGAAAGACCCATTGACGTATTCGGGCCTTGTTTGTGGTGTCGGACAGAGCGATTGTGTCCGTTACTCCCTCACTTCAGGCAACTTTCCCACTGGAAAATCCTCACTTTCACTCCAGTGTTGTATTTCTCTACATCCTCGCCATGACTTGAATGCGTCTTGTTCCTCTTTGCTTGTTCTTATCTCTCTCTCTCTCTCTCTCTCTCTCTCTCTCTCTCTCTCCCTCTCCTCTCTCTCTTCCACACACCCAAATCATGGCGCCAGCAAGGCCTATACTGCTCCGGTTCGAAAGCCGGAATGGCCAATTCAGGTTAACGGTGAACCCGACAGACGAATTTCCATCCCTTTTGCCAAAGGTTAGGCTCACATATGGGACATGTGTTCTATTGGCGTGGAGATAATAATCCAACCTTCTTAACTTAGGTGCTGGATAACCTTCCCAAGAATACCGCTCCCCCGTCTATCGTACTTTCGAACAAGCCTATAGGGACTGGAGGACAGGAAAGAAATATATCCACCCTGAAGGGGGTTACTATCCAACGGGTTGGACTATCGTGAGTCAACCCTTCCCATGTGTGTTCACTCCAGTCTGTAGACTCATTCATTCAGCCACGGAGACAAGCTTTTTATTGGTTATGAAGAAGAGACCGCGGTGGTAAACGGCAGCTCGAGTGAGCATCCTTCTTCTATCTCTAAATCGCAGAATGCACCCCGTCGCCTGGACGGTGTCGCAGTGCGGCAACAGGAACAAGCTCCCCCTGTCCCAACACCAACGTCCGAGACCCTTATTAAGAATCCGTGGGAGGCTGTTAAGCAGTCACCCCTCGATGATCGATTGGATCGAAAAGACGGAAAAATAAGTCGTGGCCTTGATCACAAAATGTGCAGACATGGACCGAAAGGCATGTGCGACTATTGCATGCCCTTGGAGCCATATGCACCCGAGTATCTTGCGGAGAAGAAGATAAAACACCTCTCGTTTCATTCATATCTTCGGAAGATAAATTCGTCTACCAATAAGCCGGAATTAAAGAGCTCCTATATACCGCCTCTCTCAGAGCCTGACTACAGGGTGAAACGAGACTGCCCATCCGGTCATCCTGCTTGGCCAGAGGGCATTTGCACCAAGTGCCAACCCAGCGCAATCACGCTGCAGCCCCAGCCATTCCGTATGGTCGACCATGTTGAGTTTTCTTCCCCTGATCTCATTAATTCTTTATTGGATTTCTGGCGAAAATCTGGAACTCAACGACTCGGCTTTTTATACGGAACATACGAGGAGTACACCGAGGTCCCACTTGGAATAAAAGCTGTCGTCCAAGCAATCTATGAACCACCACAAGTGGGTGAAGTAGATGGCGTGACGCTCCATGAATGGGGTAACGAGAAAGACGTTGATGAGGTTGCCAAATTTTGCGGTCTGGAGAAGATCGGTGTTATTTTCACAGACCTCCTGGACGCCGGAGCTGGGGATGGTACGGTCATCTGCAAGCGGCATATTGACTCCTACTATCTTTCCTCTCTAGAAATCGTTTTTGCGGCACAGCTGCAAGCAAGATACCCCAAAGCAACGAAATGGAGTGAAACGGGCCGGTTTGGATCGAATTTTGTCACATGTGTGCTTAGCGGAGATGAAGACGGTGCAATTTCGATTAGTGCATACCAAGCATCTAACTCCGCAGTTGAAATGGTGAAAGCAGATATAATTGAACCTTCTGCAGATCCCGGCGTTATGCTCGTGCAACAGGAAAACCACTCTGATGACGATGCGAGCAAAGCCCGGTACATCCCTGAGGTGTTCTACCGCAAGGTCAACGAGTATGGCGCCAACGTCCAGGAAAATGCGAAACCAAGTTTCCCCGTCGAATACCTCCTTGTCACTTTAACCCATGGGTTCCCAACTGATCCTGATGTTATGTTTAACAATTCGACTTTCCCAATTGAAAACCGTGAGGTCATTGGGGAGAGCCAGGATTTGAGAATGTTGGCTGATAAGCTTGTATCACACGGCGATCCTAACAAGACGATATGTGGTGTATCGGACTTCCATCTCCTTTGCTTCCTCAATAGTCTCGGGATCTTAAATAAGGTAAAGTTATTTTCAACATTGCTTATAGTTTACCTTTATTGTGTTGTCATTAACCCTCATCTGCCTCCGGCTATAGGACGAAGAATTTCTTTTGTGCACCGTTGCGCGATCTCACGATACCGCTGATGGCATGCAATTAATTAACACATCCGGCTGGGCCACCTTGGTTACAATCCTTCAGGAGAGCGGTGAGCGGCCCCCCAAGCGTTCTTGGCCCTTCCAGTCACAAACATTTATTTCTTCCCATCAACGTTCAAAACATCCACAAGCCCCCAAGTCGGAACATCCCCAATCGGATAGTGAACAGCTTGCTAAGAGGTTTAAGGGGGCTAGCTTAGGATAGCATTTTACCATACAAACATCTACCACTCGTGTAGAATTTTCTCTTTCTCGTTACGGAACCGGGTTGCAGTTAAGATACATTAAAGTGCATATACATTTACGCTGATAAGCCCTACCAACCATTTTATATACCGTCCTACTTTCGAGATACGTCGCTAGCAAGGCGGGTATTTGCACCTCCAGTTGATACAGCTTACTACTGGATCGAATCCCTCACTTCACGACAATCCCAAACCAACCAAATTTTCCATTGTCTTAACGGTGGTGAATGGAAACCAAGGGAGAGGGGATAATTAAAAACAACCTTAAGCTAATTAATGCATATGGATTACTGTGTTTTCTTAAGCAAGAGAAACTGGAAATTCCCAGCTTGAACATTATTGAATAATAGTATGTGATCAATAAAATGGTGACGAGAATTGGAGCTTCCATGAAAAATCTTATATCTTTTCAATTTATCATTTTATCAGGGTTTGCATTTATATACACCAGTTATCTCAGGCTTAAAGAAAATTCACAATTTAGATACATTGGTCCAAACAAGCGCCTTTGCTCTGGTTAAAATAGCGCGTTCGAATGCCAAGAGAAAATGAAATGTGAAAATACAACTTCGAAAATTAGCCAAAAGAGGCATAGAGAAGCATCACCAGAGGACAATTTTCCCTTTGAAACAGCCTGAATCAGCTCTCCATCAACCGGGGCCCAACTCACGGTTTGACCAACTTCTTTAACCTATCTCCAAGCAAAGCTTTCCCGTTATCCGTTCGCCAAACCTCATGTGGTGCATTTTTGACAATATCCCACGCCACCAAATTATCAGTGATATTGGTAAGCTCCTTTTGCTTATCTGCCCACTTCTGGTTACTTCTCACCTCAATACCAGAACTGACAACAACCAACTGCATAGACGGAGACTGAATGTTCTTCGCGCTGGAAATCTCGCTCTTCGTCGTCGAATCTGCAACAAGGTTCTCTTGCAACTTCGCTTTGATGAATTTGCCATTTTGGTACGCCACTTTACCATACACACGGTCTTCCCTCGTGCGGCCCTTGAATATCGCCCCGGCCAAACTATCCAGTCCAAGTGGGGAGAATATCCCACGTAGCCAGAGCTTGAAGCCGCGACCCGGCTTGCCAAGCTCTGGCAGCAGATCCTCATGCAAGGGCGTCGATCAGCATGAGACCTGTGACGTCAGCGGCATGTCGACTAGCGAAAAATGCGGCTGTATATCCCACCCACGCCAGCGGATACGACGACCCCATGAGCCTTTTATGTCTGCGAGCGCGAGGGTTTCGGATAGGACGTCGGCAGACATGCCCGCAGAGTGTGGAGATGGGGCATTGTCAGACCACCCAATGCCGGGTCTGTCCCAGTAGCAGTATCGGTCAATGGAGCCATTGCGAAACGCCTCGTGTACCCAGCTGCGAAAGCTGTCTTCGACTGGCATTTCGCCGGCTTCCAGGAGGACTGTTGCGCTGCGTTTGTTCGCCGCCATTGAGGGGGCTGCGCCAACGCAATCCAGGTGGATTTGATATTTGCCGTTATCGACGTAATATTTATTGCCGGGGGCGGGGAGGCCGGCATCTTTCGCGCGCACGCTCAAAGTGGCCATGAGCAGCACGGTCGCGAGGGCCGTGACGGTCACGACGATCGTCTCAAGCAGGACGGCAAACCATTCTCGAAGCGTTCGCCGCGTCTCTTCCCTGCCCGTCAAGCGCTCTTCCTCCTCCCGCTTGCCCCATGCCACGAAGCGGGTCTGGGCTAATAAATAAAGGCTAACCACTGTCGCCCATGTGGCGGAGGCAATCCCCACCCATCCCTCCTCGATGCGGAGACGGCGCACGCCGACGATGATGAACAGGTTGACTGCTAGGAAGAGGGAGAGGACGGCGCCCCATATGGTCATGGGCCTCGACGGGACGGAGAAGAATATCAGGGCAATTAGCAGGTTGCCCATGGTCAAGGTGGCAAAGAAGAAATCGAGGAAACCTGGACCGCGGCTGTTCATCCCCGGCGGACTGACGAAAGTTGACGCGAGCAGCACAATCCACCAGATAAGGGTTATTATCAGGAAGAGGATGTTGAGGCTTCGTAGAGCCCGGACACTCCAGAGATTGTACGGAGACACCTGTTTGCGGTTCAGCCTTGAAAACCCTTTCTTTTTCCGTTATTTTATTTTTATTTTTATTTTTATTTTTATTTTTATTTTTTTGGGGGGAGTAACTGGTTTTAGGAGGAGAGAATTGGGCCTTACACCTGGGTCATCGGGATCCAAGTATACCCCTTGTGGCAGCAGCCGAGTTCGTTCTGTTGGCTCACATGTTCGCTGCCTCCTTTCTGTTGCTTCGTTTTCACCATGTTCTTCTTCCGCGCACTGGCTCTTCATGATTGCGTGAACCCCATAGCGGAGACATGATGA